ATTTTTACTATGTCGACTTGTCAAGATAATCTATCTCGCCATGTCGACATGATATGTATATTATGTCGACTTGACAACATAATTATCTTGACAAGTCGTCAAGTCGAATGGCACTTAGGTGCTTCCGTAGAAAATACAGTAGCTACATCGAGCATTTTCTGTAAGTCAATGTCACTACCAGCAATAAGGACAGCATCGTCAGCCCAAAATAGAGCTCCAATGTACTCCACATATTCTGATACCAACTTGCCGCTTTTTAAGGGTTTTAGCAAGTTTATATAAATACAAAAGAGCACCGTGTGGGCAGCCTTGCTTTATCCCGTCTTCTGTTTCAAATGTATCAGTCTCAAACTTAGACAACTTAACATTACATCTAACATGATCATACATATTATCGGATTTTCCAAAAGTCACCTCTTATACAGTATTATAAAGAATAGTTCTCAACCCATTTCTCCAAACAGAATCAAACGCCTTACGAAGGTATGCAGTGTTATTCAAATGAATGAGTACCGTATCACAAAAAAGACACAAGCATTATAGCTTTAAAAACGTTTATTTTCGATGACGTAAGGCATATGAAAGGCCCACTGAACTGCGGCGGGAAGCGTTTTTTTTTTCGTACGAAACATTTACATACATGAAACTCCACTCGGGCCGTCTCGACTGAATCGACCCGGAGATCTCATATTGCAGAATTCAGGAGGTCAAAAGGTCACCAACAGATAAACGTCTACAAAACAACTTCCAAAGAGAACGTCCCTGTCGGATTTTTAAAAATACATTGATGTTACTATGCTAATACCATTGGTGCGTTTAAAATGACATATAATATTTGATTGAGCTGCACGAGTAATGAAAAGAACTTGAGTTACATACTGTGACAATTTTTTTTAGTTAGATCTGGGTTTTGCATAATTACTTAGGCCTACATGGGCCTACTTACTACTGAAAATATACGCTTTCTGGGGAAAGCACAATTAAGAGGAAGGAAAAGCGCGTTTCTTCATCAAGTGAAACAGGATGGTTATTTTCAAATTAAGAGAAGAGCTGAGAATAGGCAGCTCTAAAATACTGGATGCCATAAGACCTGCCAAAATGGCAGAGCACCAATGAATGTATAAATGAGGCCTAAGCCTAGTTATATCATAGAGAAAATAGAACAGATAGATATGGTTATATCATGGAGAATTCCTCCATGGTTATATAGTCTCTGCAGGTTCTTGTTTACATGGCTAGACCAAGTTAATTAATGCCGAAATGATTATTATTCTTATTATTATTTATTTATTATTATTATCATTATTATTATTATTTTTATTATTATTATTATTAATTATTATGTTACTAAAACCTACCTTAAGGGGAACTTAGACAATGGAGAAATTAGAGAACAATTAAAAAAACGACCTTAAGGGGAAATAACACAAGATATTCCCTTGGGCTAGTTATTAATTATAGGCCTAGTAAAATAATAGGTTCTTGATTAAAGGCTTAGGCCAAGGTAATTAATGCTGAAATGATTATTATTATTATTATTATTATTATTATTATTATTATTATTATTATTATTATTATTATTATTATTATCATCATTATTTAACATTAATTACATTACAAGGATAGTTTGGCCAAGTTCAATAACGCCGGAATGGTATATATTTTATTTAATATTATTTAATAATATTTCTCCTATGCACTCTACTTTTTATTTCATGCTTTTTTCCCCCTTTTTCAAGATTTCAATCAATGTCGCGTGAAGCGTGACTATTGGTGTCAGCCTAGTACCCTAGGCCTATTTTAGGGAGGGGCCTAGGTAGGGAGGACTTAACTCAGCCTGCAGTGGTTAGGCCTGTAGTTTATCCTCTTTCTCTCAGCCTTTGGTATTAGTACTGTACCTATCTACACTTTATAAAAGGGGGTACTAGCTGTTGTTGTTGTAGATATTATACTAACATTTAATAATATACAAGGTCACAGTTAGTTACACACGTACATTTCATAAACCTACCGTAGGTAAACATAGAAGGGGAAATAATATTAAAACTCGAGCGTCACGACATTGCGAAGTGTTTGCTCTAGTTCCTCGTATCGAACTCGAGTCAATTTGTGCTTATTGAAAAGCAGGCATGATAGCTGCAAAAATTATAAATACTGTTTCAATTTCGGTGGATTGAACGAGGGCTATGAAAACCATAGAGGTATGAAATTACCGAAAGCTTGACTTTCATCTGATAACAAAGTGGAATATTGAATTGAACAAGTAGCTCGTACCGTATACCAGTTGCGATCCATAAATTCGAAATAGAGGGAGGGATTTACAGATGGAGGGTCCAGACGACCTCAGCCCCACCATGGTTGGGACTGAGGTAAGAGATTTTATAATTATGGCATCTGGAAATGTCACTTGAATTTGAATATCATTTTCTCCTTTTTTCCCTTTTTTTCTAAATAATTTTGAAAACAATTAGGGGTCTTTGGCCCTTGAATCCGCCATGTATACCCGCTTTTTATTTCAACCGAATAGGGATCTTTTGCATAGCATTTACAATAAGGATGATTTTTGTTATTAAAAACTTCGTAGAAAAAAATCTGTAGGCCTCACTAACTCCTTATGTATTATTTAACATTTTCCTCTTTCTTTCCACGTTTATTCCAAAATGCATCGCTGTTAAAAACTGAAATACAACAGATGGTTACAATTTACAGATTTAAAAATTACAAATATAAAAATATTAAATACCGGTATATTGAAAACATTTATTTTAAAAAAATGGCCAAATTCTATCTGACCTCAAACTCTCTCAGCTCTCTACCCCGTTTGATTTAATTATCTCTGACTTATATACAGATGTTTGTTGAAACCTCTCCTCTTAAACTTGACATCTGCTCGTCTCATAACCCCACATGGGATATCTTACTTAAATTCCCCACTATCGGTCCCTCTAAGTTCCTAAAAGGGTTTGGCCTACAACACATAATAATTACTCTGATCGTCGTCATTTAGGCCTATTTGTCATTTGGTTGTTTCTGATTTTAATTTGTAAATCATTTAAAATAGTGACTCAAAAAGTTCAGTAAGTTAATCACATCGAAACCTTTATTAAGTTATTCATTCTGGTTATTAAGCATATCGATTTTATTTATTTAATCATTGATGCATCATTTCGTAGAGATAAAACGTTAAAAAAAAATAAGAAATTGAATATAGAGAGATGTAATCTGCTTTTATGAAATACGAACTCAATGTAATTTGTTACTGGTACCTATGCATACTTTACTGCTACTCTAAAGTTTTAGATGAGCTACTTAATGTTAACTATGAACACATTAAGGTATAAACTGAAAGATCAAGTGAACTTTGTCGATTTGGTGTAATATGTAGCGTCAAATGTAAAGCATAATTGATCACCTTTTGCAATACATTATTCATTCAATATCTCCAATAGGGTAATATCATATGGGGATAACTAAGATATTTAAAAAAGTTAATCACATCGAAACCTTTATTAAGTTATTCATTCTGGTTATTAAGCATATCGATTTTATTTATTTAATCATTGATGCATCATTTCGTAGAGATAAAACGTAAAAAAAAAATAAGAAATTGAATATAGAGAGATGTAATCTGCTTTTATGGAATACGAACTCAATGTAATTTGTTACTGGTACCTATGCATACTTTACTGCTACTCTAAAGTTTTAGATGAGCTACTTAATGTTAACTATGAACACATTAAGGTATAAACTGAAAGATCAAGTGAACTTTGTCGATTGGGTGTAATATGTAGCGTCAAATGAAAAGCATAATTGATCACCTTTTGCAATACATTATTCATTCAATATCTCCAATAGGGTAATATCATATGGGGATAACTAAGATATTTAAAAAAAAATGTGTGAGTGTAATATAGACAGGTTTACAAAAAGTTACCAATATTAATGTCTTGTTTCAGTATAATAAATTTCCATGAACCGTATGCAACATTCATATACAATTTGCCTCTAAAAGCCCATTTTTAATTAACTAAATATTATGTGGAACACAATTTAACAAAAAGGCCCTATTTTATTTTGTTTAACTTAATTTCTCCAGGGCTGCTTTTCCAGCTATGTTGAACATTGATGCCCTCATGACAAAAAAAATTCAGCAATGCCAATCACACTACATAAACATAAAATATAATCCATAGAACAATTTCAATAGATAAAAACAATAACAAAATATGGGGAAAGTACATAGTACGCTTTGAAAAAGTTTTCCTTGGAAAAAGAAGAATACGAAGAATGGCAAATATAAGCAGAAATATTACAAAAAATGATGAATTATGTAATTTAAACCGTGCTTTTATTTTTTAACTTAGGATGGGTAACTGAAAAAATGAAGTTCTGGGATGCCGTGTTGATTAATTTTGAGTTAATATAAGGAGGAGCCAAGCGATGAATAGCACAAACATCAATGAAAGGCATCTAAGCTGGTCAAATACTATGAAGTCTAAAGTGATGTAGAATTTACGTTACACTCAAAGATTTCAGTATCCTAGGCAAGTTTAAACATTTTGTGTAAAAAAAAACCCCATAAAGCTTAATATTGTTAGACATCCACTTGTTTTCTTTGCTAGCTTGTGTTTTTTTGTTCATTATAATATGTATCAATGATTGTTACTATCCTTTTATTGTTAAAGAGCAGTTTAAACAAGCTTCGGATTCTAGACTGTTCTAGAAATTGACCTTTGTACTAAATGTTCTCTTTGCACATTGGTTGAATAAATATCACCTTAAATTAAATTGCTTTGTGAAATCATGGGTGAAATGCACGCGAACGTGTTTGCTCGAAAGTTAAATTTTAACTGAATCGTTGCGTTGTTTGATTATCGCATGAGTAATACATCTCATGAGTAACACAACGATTAGGCATGCAGACGATCGCCATTTGTATGCATTTTGTTACGAAACTGTTCGTTTGCAGGGCAAAATAACTCATACTTAGGATATAAGTTATATACTTAGGTCTATAATAATTATAAACGTATATTATGCCATAGGCCACTGCAAATTTATAATTTTACTACATCACTGAAGTTGTTTTAGTTTCCTTTATAAAACATTCTTCCTCTACCTTTTATCTGACCAAAAGGACCCAGGGATATCACCATGGTTTGCCCCACATATTGGCTGAGCTTTTTACCTTTTTAACCTACTAACGTGTTAAAAAACATAAAATACTTTCTCCCTAAAACGTCAAATACTGTATAAGCGGACGGGGCCTTTCCTCCAGGTAATAGTGCCACGAGCAAGCCTTAACCAGGGCCCCAGACCTCTTTGTTACGCCACTACACGTAAGCCTATAAAAAAAAAAGCTATGAAAAATGGAAAATGGACAATATTCCGTTAGGCTTATATCAGTTAACTTTACATTCTTCATCACTAAAGTTATTTTTAGTTTCCATGATGAACCGTTCTTCCTCCTCTTCGTCCTTGTCTTCTAATCCTGTGTATGTAGACGAATACTGCAACCCACACATATATTTCATGATTACTTTGGTTACAAACACTTGGACAGCCACCACAATGGTTCCGAGAATGCAGTGCCAAGCGAAGACCATTGTAAAGAATTTGATGTTCAGATGATCATCCTCATCCCATTCGTAATCTTTGCTACGTAGAGGATGATACAACGTTGAACCAATCTGTAACATCCACGAGCCTTGAACAAACGTGGCCCAAGTGCGTAACCACGGAAGTACCTCGTCAGCCGGGAGCCATATTTCACCTGCACTGAATAGAATGCACATAAACACAATGGTCACCTCTAACAAGTGCATCTGAACATTCAGTTCTGTTCGTCCGTGGAGATGAAAATAAAACAGCAAACATTCAATAAAGTAAGCGAAAGTTAAGAACACCTGAGCCCATCTTTCTGAGCCTTTAAAGCAGGTTGCCACGGCAATTTTGGCAGCTCCATAGAACGCAAAAGCGGCCCACATAGTGCAATGCTGCCAAATATTTGAGTAAATAAAATTACCTTCATTATCAAATATTCTCCACTTCCAAGTTTTATAAACTTGTTCACCGATAAAGCCGGAAAGAGCCAAGAAGACAACTAAAATTCCTTCAAAAGGTACATTCATACACGGCAGTCTAGCTTTCCGGCGAGTCCTTCGATAGTTGCGATAGTAGTTATTGAATGTTCGTTGTATCGTCCACCATGATGCCAATATCATGAATAAAATCCCAGACGCAGCGTGTCCGAAAAAACTACCCATATGTATTAAAGCACCTAAACAATTTTCAAAACAGTTGAAATCAGCAGAACATTTGGTCCCAATATCAGCGTTCTCCGGTGGTATGATATCGCACAGTGAATCAGACCGTAACCACAGACTTAATAAAGTACATTATACAATATTATCTACAGCTGCGTGGACTCTCAGTCGGATGGAAATTAAAGTAGTGCCGAATCAGAAACGATATTTTTCACATTGTGTATGATTGATTGATTCTAGGCATCCAAAACACAAGCATAGAGATCACAGTATTATGGGCTATACATCAAATAAATAAATAGATAAATATAATAATAATGATAATAATAATAATAATATAATAATAATAATAATTGATAATTACCAATATGAATACATTATCTAATCTAATAAGGTCTAACGTTAAGAGTAATATTTATAATAACAAGAGTTACCACTTGATAGTAATAATAAAACTCGCTAAAACTTTTAGAAGAACAACGTGAAACTTTAGTTGGGTCTTGTCTGTAAAAATAAATAAACTGAATAAATATTTGGCCCTTGCTTGAGTCAAATGTTGACACTTACTTAACCCACCAATATGCTTACACTACAGAAAACACGTTTTGTCATCATCATCATCATCATCATCATCATCATCATCATCATCATATTATTATTATTATTATTATTATTATTATTATTATTATTATTATTATTATTATTATTATTATTATTATTATTATTTGTATTATTACTGTAAAGAGAAATACTGTAATAATTTTGAAAATAGATTTGTAATTTCCATTGGAGTGAATTATCCGGAAAACTGCCGAATTTCCTTCCTTTAAGTCTCCGGTTTAAACAAACGGCACTATTAAGATTAATAATAAATATGTGTGTACAGTTGGCCGATAAGGAAATAAATAAACCAATTTAATCTAGACCGGATCCAATGAAGAGCACTTCAAGGGCGTTCCCATTATCGATGGTCATGTGAAAGCAAACACATTGGCTACGCTGACCTCTGTATATGAATAGCGTTATAAATTATCTATAACATCAAATAGGCCAGTATTTTCAATATTTTAGCAGTTATCCAAACAATATAAATACAAAAATTAATATATTAATTTTTTATCAATAAAACAGCATTTTAACATTACTTTTCTAAATTACAGTGATTTTAATTTTCTTTTTACAAACGTCTATTCATTTTTCTTTCCTCATATTTTTTTTCATTTCATACCAGTTTCATTCAATATTTTACATTCTAAAGTGAAATACCGTATTATTTGAACAAACGCTCCTGGCGTTTAGTATTGAGAAGAGTTTTTGAGGGGGCGTTTATTCGAGGGAGGCGTGTATTTTATTTTGGGTATAAAATGGATATACTCAAATAAACGCCTCTTAATTTCACTGTAAACGTGAAACACATAATTATCGATCATAATGTGTTACTGTGGGATCATAAAGACTTATTGATTCAAACCAGGTTAGAAGAAATGTAATTCTACTGGAGAAGAACATTATTAGAATGTTTTGAGGACGATGTTGCATTTATTAGATTTGTTTAAAGTCATTTAAGAGGGGGAAAGGGCGTTTATTCAAGGAAATAAAAACGCCGAACTAAATCTTACTTATAAAGACATGACGATAATACATCGCGTAGCATAGCTCTCAACGAATGTTGTCCTATAAATAAACGAATAAAGAAATTGAGTGTAAGAAAATGCTTCTGACGGGAAACAATGTTTCCAGCTACGTATTGTGTAATAGAGTGGCGGTAATTTGAATCTGTTCAGCCATGAAACCTCTGTGGTCTAATGGTCATGACGCTTGCCTTGACAGCGAGAGGTGCAAATCCCGAAGTTTTCAATTATAACCTTGAAGAGGGGAGCAGGTGCTCTCGAAATTTTGAGGCGAGTTGATTGGCCGAGCGGTTAAGTCAGGGGCATTGTGACCTTCAGCTCTAATATCGGCGTTGGTTCGAACGGCTCACTCGCCAATGGTTCCGGTGGTGGAACAAGTCTTCTCGGATAAGGACTTTAAACCGTAGGCCCAGTGTACGCATTTGGCTCGTGTGCACTTTAAAGAACCCGGTACATCATTCGAGAAGAGTAGGGAGTTACCCCGGTGTACTGGTCCATTAAGTCCCCTGTTGTTAAATGGATATGCCACATAGGATAGTGATAAGTTCACTTATTGGCATATCCTTGGCCCTCGTGTCTAAAGAAATGAAATGAAATGAAATGAAAAATGAAAAAGGTTTTTAAATAAAATCTACGGTATGCTTCAAAGTAGTCACATTGTGAAGAATGTTATTTCTTTACTGCCTACTATTATATATATA